ATCAGAACCCTAATAAGATGAATTGATGAGATGAAAGGTATACAACAGTCCAGAAACGCACGCAATCAGTACCTCTACGGAAAGCAGGAATTGAATTGGAAGAGATAGCGTCCCTACAAGCCTTCATTGCTGCTTTCGTAACATCTTGCCTGTTTCAATGTCACAATCCCTCAAATCAATTAGTGAAACCCCAAGCGCTTTACATTAAATCGTCTATGGTTGCACTTTGAGTGAAAGAGAGATGGAGTTGACTGACCCATGCTGATCGTAACCAACTCCCATTTCAACAAACAAGAGTGTAATAGAAGAGTTGGGAACGGAAGATTGGATTGTGAGAGGAGTTGGTGAGGTGGGTTCGCGGGCGGCGGCAGTTGCCATGGAAATGGGTGATGTTGAGGAGGCAGAAACCTTGAATTGGGGAAGAAATGGTGGAGATTTGAGAGTTGTTTGAAGAAAAGACGGGAATTTGATTGAAACGAAAGAAGTGTTGGCAATCAACATTCTTACGATTTCAACTTAATTTTTCCCCAATCCCTTGTCACCTCCATTGGCCAAGATGATGTCGATAGATTCTATGCTGTTTAGCCCCCAATTCCGTTATCAATTGCATTAATTATCATCTTGTTAGTTAATTTATTATTCATATTACTAAATTGATTTTACAACCTTTTTTTTAATTTTTTAAAAATAAAATTTCACAGTAGAGGTTATGTAACACCTCGGTTACGATTTCACCAAAACATAACATACGAGATATCATTTTCTAAATAAACCATCAAAAGCTAATTATACTTTAATAAGTATTTCCAAATCCAAAACGAAAGCTTACAATMTTATAATTARAACATTTACCAAYCAAAAATCGGGACAACATAATAACTACCCGGATATATTTACAACCCAAAATAGAAACTAAACATAATTATATATATATACCAAGGTTTGGCAACGATCCCCAAACTAATCATGAACTAACTACACCGGGTTCTTGCATTTATCTTCTTTCTTTCCTGAAAAAAAAAATGAGCTAACGGAATAAGCACATGGCTTAGTGAGATAAATAGTCTAAACAAATGCTATTGAAATCAAGTCTATACAATTACATGGGAACCATAAACCAACCAATTGAATGGTTAYATCAATGAATAATAAATTGAGAGTAACACTTACGAAATAAGGGTTGTCCATAATATAACCAAAGACCAAGTGCTGGAATCCAACAATTCACATGACATAACATGCTTATTACGAAATGCAAATTACAAGTAATTATCAAATGATACCAGGTCAATTCCTTTGCAAGGGACTAATATCATATGTTTGTCAAACGGTCTAAAGAAACATGTCGGAATAACCAAATAATGGAACACATAGGACTAGCAGGGAGCCCATCGTCACTGGGTATGCTCGAGCTCCTATGGTTCATGGAATACAATGCTTAGGACTGGCAGGGAGCCCGCCTTCATCTCCCGGGTATGCCCGAGTCCCTGTACTCGTGCCTCTCTTCACATTAGGCACCGAGTACGGCCAACAGACAATGAGAACGACTAGAATGTCCCACCGGTTCCTCCCCCTTCACCGGCATGTTGACATTCACCGTTTTCGGGACGGATCACACAAAGTAATCCCCGTACTTCCGGTTTCACAAGAAATCAAAGAAACAATACCGATGGAATATATGGATATCCAAACCGACCGACATTTCGGAAGAATTCGTAATCGAGAGATCAATACGTACAAAGACAAAAGACCAATAAAAACCGACTCTAAAGTCATAGAAATCACATACATATAGATGGCACATAAATACACACTTAATACAATAATATTTGAATAGCTATTTAACTCACCTCACGACCGAATGTCAAATACGGTCAAACCGAACGACAAATGTCCAACCTTGTAATCCAACTATAAGATACCCTCCAAAGGACTCAAATAAGCTTAAATTATCCCCTGGAGTTCATATATCAAATTTCGTAAGCATTGGTACAACCAAACACATTTTWTCAACTTAATCATGTCATAAGCTAACTTTAATTATATGTTGCAGCTCTGTTTTTAACCTCTGTTTTACCTCACTTAAACTCAAAATCACACTTTGACTTCAACTGATGGATTAAAGTAGAGATGTATATCTTTCCAAAGCCGCTTACCTCATATTTTTCTGATTTTTCTACGATTTTCTACGATTTTTACTAAACAGTGCTGTAACATGACTTTCAAACTCGAAAAAATCATACTTTTATCCAAATAAGTATCCAATTCCATTCCAGTCCTAACCAAACTCAAATGTTAACTTCATTTTATCATCATCAAGGTAAAATCAACAAGAAACTATGGTTCATTCATCTATTTCTACCAATTTCATCAAAATTCATCTTTTGTATAACAAATAGTCAATTTATTCATAGTGAAAACTCACTTATTCTTACCATCTTCTTGCATATCAACCATATAATCAATGAATTAACTAATGTATATTCATAATCTGAGCATAATATCACAATTCTACACTTATCTTACACATACAGTAAGCTTATATCACCCAAATGTCATCATATTTGTTACAACTTCAAGAACAAGAACAARGATGAGATTACCTTCAAATTGTTGTGTAATCATTCAAAATAACATGATATTCACCAACATAAAACCATAATCTTACAAAATCATCCACTAATTACAAACATGAAATCCCTAATTTCCTTGATTGACACTAATTGCAAAGATTAAACTTAGTATTAGGAGTATACCTTCAATAATCTTCACATATTCATCAAGAATTCATCACTTGATCTTTGATTCTCCAAGAATTGAAGTTGTTTGAGCTTAARTRTGTGTAATTHGCACCTTTACTGTGTGTGCAAGTTATGGGACTGAAAATGGCCTAAAATGGGGTCTATAATCGACTTTTCTAGGTTAAATCTGAGTTGGGTCGGGTTTGACCCGCCTAAGTACCYATTTTGACCACTAAACACTAAAAATAACATAACTTTTATCTTGGAGCTCCGTTTTTTATGAGGTTTTCGCTTACGCGTTCGTAACGAAATAATCTACAACTTCCAATAAAAATATTCCATAAAAGATCTTCTTAAAAAAATTTGGTTTTACGAATTCATAGCTTAATTGTTGACGTTTTGACTCGATTTCTCCAATTTTCTCAATCTAACTCCGATTGGGATGAAATTTTCTAAATCCTCTCATATACTCCAAAGAAGTATGACCTTAAAATTCCATCCCCAAACTCCCACTAAATCATTGGTTACCTTATATGGCCACTACTAAAACACGTAGTAAATTTTCAATATGCTTAACATTTTCTCGCATGTAAGCACATAATATCCTTCGTAAAATGTAAATTAGGCGCACTTAGCAAATAATATGGGAAATTAGAATTGGGATGTTACAGGTTAAGGGACCGTTCAAGTAAAATTCGGCACTATTATTTACTTACAGAGTGAAATTTTAATTCATCAAAACGATATTGTATGCAACAATTCACCCGGTAAGCGCTTACCGTGGTAAAAGTCGTCGCCCTCACTTACCGGGTAAGACTCATAGTGCTTGTCTCGCTCTTATCGGGTAAGATTCTTAGTTCTTATCATATTCATCCGGTAAGGTAATGTGACTTGGTAAGCACTCATCCGTGTAAGTGTTTGGTAAACGGCCTCTAAATTTCATTCTTTTCTCCATCCAATCTAGTATTGTATATCTTCATTTTGTTTTTCTTATTACTTAAAGTTTACCATGTATTTAATTATGAGTTAATTTATAAAGTTCATACGTAGTAATAAGTTGAAATTATGTAATGATAAGCCGGTGGGTTAAAAAAAATTGAAAATATAGGTATCAAAATTTGATATGTTAATATGGAAAGTGTATAAAAAACATGTTATATTTTAAATGTTTCCAACGAACCGGACGCTAATTTCCATACACAAATGATTCTTCATTTAATTATGATATTGTAAGTTAAATGCGAAAATGGAAAGAGTGTCTGTATTCACACCAAAAGAGTCCGTCCGTCCGTCCCTTCTTTACAGCAAAAAAGCCCGATTGATAAATGAATGCTGAAGCTGAGTTTGCTACAGATAAAGAATGTTTAGCATTTCTGTTGGTTTTCATGGCAAGATCTTGCTTTATCACGCAGCTCTACGAATGCCCTCATCGTTTCAACATCAAAACCACCCGCAAACTGTCAAAAATAAAACAAACATCCAATTAAGCACAAGTCTTCATATGCAAATGGAACCCGACTTCATGAATTCTATTTGTTGGTACCTGATGTACGCGAAATGCGAATCGTACACCTTGAACTATCAACTCTTCCTCTTCTGGACCGCCAACCGTCTCCAGTTCTGCCGATACTCTTCTCATGTACTTCATTGCTAACTTCACCGATGCAAGCTTGATCTATAAGAATGCAAATCACCCTTGGTTATTCTCCACTTTTCCCAAACAAAAGACAGGTTTCAAAGGTATCAGAAAGAAAGAGTGTATCAAAACACAATATGAGAATATGTGGAACCCCATTATATTATTTTTCAAACGAGCCATTTAAGGACAAAAAGAGGGTTCCAACATATTCTGAAGAGTGTTCAAGTCTGGACGACGTGAGACTCTTAACATAATATGCCCTCTCCAATGGAGGATAAACAAGCAAAAGATGGTATACATTGGCTAGCTATGATACCATATAAGAATCCAATCAGACAGAAGATGTTCCAAATGATATACTCTGACTCTTGTACCATATGAGAATATCCAAAACCTCATCAGATTACTATCTAGAAAATAACTCGAGACAAAGGAGTTCCAATGTAATCAAATTTGCCAGGTCATAAAAAGAAGTGACAAGATGATGGTCAAATTAAGGTTATCCAATTCACAAAAGAGTCCCTACAGCATAAAAGCACAGACCAGTTCCTTTAACCTAACCAAGAATCGAAATCAATAGCAACCTACAAATGACCTTGCATGAGGTACATGTCAAAATAGCAGAACCCAGAATTCGATCAAGAAAGAGGATTTAGACCCACCTTCCTTTTTAGTAAAGTTTAAAAAGAGGTGTGCATTTGCCTTCTGTTTCCCATTTTAGAATCTAGAATAGTGTACCAAATGTGGGTGGCAAAAAGTGAAAATGTTGAAAAATAAATCTAGCATATAAATCTTGGGGTACTTAAAAGGGCCATCCCTTTTTCCAAGAATAAAAACCGACAAAATCAAGGGCAATACATGGTTTGATGCATGATGTACAAGTCATTACTCTGGATTTGGGTATTTATTAGCTCAAGGAAAAATAGAATCTAATTCAATTTAGTCACAAACATCTAAAAAGGTGATGAAGAATCCAAGCAAATACATTTGAATAGAGTGTGGTGTGTGGGGTTTCACTTTCACATGTGAGCATGCAGGTAGGGGACCTTGTAAACTGAGCAAAATCCTTGCAACCCTTTTGGCATCTAGTAACCAAATCAATGTTCTCATTATTTATAGTCTATTGCCTAATTGTAGACTCAGCCCATGGACACAAGTTTCTTTTTCTTGGAGTTGGAAAAACACACATGTAGGGGCCACCAACACCAATTTTCTTGAACAAACAAGGAGTCTTTAATTAACTTTTATAAAAAAAATTAATTCAATTACCTTCATCTGCCTTCCGAAAAACTTGAAAATAGACGGAAGTGTCGTTTTGTAAAACGAGCGTCTGAAGAAGGTCATTGGCCTAGTGGTAAGAATCTTGATTTAAGAGGTCTAATAGGATTTCCATCATTTTCTCATGGACCATATGCCCATTTGCAAAACGAGCATCTAAAGTTTGTCTTTTTTTTCAAGTGAGTACATTTTTGGTTTCTTGCAGGTGTGTACCATGACTAATGGGGAAGAAAGTCCGAAAAGAAGAAAGGAGTAGCTACCTGAGCTGCAAATCCGGTGTCTTGCATCCAACCCATCGGGATTTGAAATACTTTGTATCGTGTTGAAGCCGATTCTCTCATTCGTGATAGATTATACACTCCATGCTCTAATCTGTTTGTCACCAAACGAATCAGCATTATAAAATCTTACAAAATCCAACTAAAAATAAGCCTTTTAGTGGGGAAAAAAAAAGATCCATACTTTTCAAACAATCCTTGCATTTTCTTGAGAGCCGGTGCACAATGCTGGCGAGGATCGTCTCGAAACGATGATGCCTCCGATTCAAGCTTCTTTAGATCACAATACCCGAATGCAGCTTCTCTCAATGCATCCGCTTTACGCTCCGGCCATTCAAAGTGCTTCAGAACTGCCCTCTCATCAACCTGAACCCATTCAAGAAAAAGAAAACAAGTATGCAAGAATATTAGATCATCAAGTAATATAATTTGGGTGCCTTTTAGTTATATTTTCTGTTTCGGAAACAGTATCCCTATTTTCCAAACAAAGGTAACGTCCGTGTACATCTTATATCCCACGTCCCAACTCCAAATTGGATATATCATGTACGTTTGATTTATATATACGAAATGAATAAGATTTTAAAGAAGATTAACGAAAGAAGTAAATTCACCAGGTAAGAGAGTTCATCGTCGAGCCATTTCACAAAGGGCACAACATCTTCGATATCTGTAAATGACGCATTCTCGACTTCTTTGATCAAAAACCTTATAAAATCACCTTGTGTTTCCACATCTGTCTTTATCTGTAACAATAATTTAATCACCCCCCAAAAAAAAACAAATTAAAAAAACAAATTAAAAAAACACAAAACAAAAACTAGATAATAAATAAATAATTCAAAGTTATTCCGACGTACATTTCTTATTATTTATTGGGGTCGCTTCAAATAAGAATGTTATATATTATATGAACATTACAAACGTTACTACATAGGATTAAATGATGCCCATAACCTAAAATAACTACAGCCATAAAAGGATCGAGCATGTGAAAAGTGACGAAATTACCCTTTGGGAGTTGCACCATTTATGATTTGAGACCTAATGTCTTAATCTTATAATAATTAATAAGCAACCAATTTAATAGGGGAAAATGTTAGCTGTGGACTGGTCCAGGGGTAGAAGTGTAATTCATTATACTCTGCTATTGGTTACTTACCGCGAGCAAATGCGTGGACCGGTTCTCGATTTCTCCGATCATGTCACGTGTATTGGCGGTCGACGGTACGTCGGCGGAGGAAGATCCGTTGCAGGACTCCCGGCGAGACTCTCTCCGCATCAGAGAGTGGTAGAACTCGACGACCTCCGGAACTCGACGAACCTTCGCCGGCAACGGCTTTAGACCTGTAGGTGGAGGTGGAGGAGGGGGAGGAGCAGGAGCTTTGCTGGTTCTGGGAGGAGGTGGTGGTGGCGGAGGAGCTAGTTTATTTGATGGTGGAGGTGGTGGAACCGGAGGTTGTTGCTCAGTCAATGCTCTCTCTGCCGAGCTGCTCAGTGAGCTATTAGAGGAAGAAGAACACGATGATGACGAACACGATGATGTAGAAGGCCGTGGAGGCGGTTTTGGAACCCTAGGAACTCGAGACCGAACTTCAATAACTGAATCCCCCATATCTAACGAATCACACCGAGAAAGCCTTGGCAAATTGTCGATTTCTACTAATATCGACTCTTTTGAGCTCGATTCTGTATAACATTTGTTGTCGATTTCATTATGATGCCGATTCACTGGAAGATTCGCGAACGTATGGCCTCGTTTCAAGCTCTTGATCATAGTAGACTTGCCTGAAATATCCATCAATTGCTGAAACCTCTGCGAAGAAGACGTAGCCGACGCCAGCTCCAAATCCTTCATTCTCTGCTCGAATTCCCTCTTTTGTTCCGTGAGCTTCAAATGCAGCATTTCAACATCTTGCCTCAACCTCTCGTTCTCGGCTTCTAGACACTCGATCTTCTTAGAAGATCGGCTGATTTCCGAATCCTTTCTCGAGATCTCATTCTCGAGAAGTGGGAGTATAGCCACAGACTCCTTGAGTAGCTTTTGCTCCAATAGTTCCGTCCTTAACCTCGACTCTCGTTCCCTCAACTCCTCCACCAAATGTAACAGCTCCGCCACGTCCGGTGGTCGCGGCTGGACCTGAGCTGAGGACCGCGGGAAGTACACCCCAAATGACCGTGAGAACACCGCCCCTTTCTGTGGCACCTTCCCACCTCCACCACCGGAACTATGCGATGGAGACGGATGTTGCCTCTGTTGTTGCACTTCCGTCTTGGAATTGGACGGTGATTTCTGCAAACCCATGGCTAATTTGACCTTACCAGCCACCATATCAACAATGTATAGACACAAAAGGGTGTTTGAATCAGAATGATTATCCTTTCTGCATTATGGGTATCGATGGATAGAGAAAGAAAGAAAGAAGAAAGGGAAGATGAGTGAGTTATGGAGAGAAGTCGTTGTTAGGGTTACCTGTGAGAAGTGAAGAGCAATGGGGGTTTGTTTGGTTTGGATTGGATTGGATTGGAGGGTAGTGCAAAGTAAAACTAAAGTAAAAAAGAGAGCACAGTTATCAAGGAACGGTCTTCTGTGTGTGTTGTTTTGTTTTGTTTTGCTTTGCTTTGCTTTGAAATATTTGGGGAAAGTTTAATAAATGGAATTCAATTAATCTGAACGCGCCAACCGCATTTTGAACTTCAACTTAAAACCAATTATTTACTTTTTTTTTTTTACTTTATAATTACTTTCTCTAAAAATATTTGGTAACGTTTATATTTCTATCTTAATTTATTATTTTTATTTTCAAAATTATCAAGAAATAGCTACGAGTTTCACGAATGATTTTACGATTTCGTCCGTTCTTTTGATAACTTGGTTATTTCTTTATATTTAATCTGATCTCGAAACACTGTTTTGAATTTTAGTACAAACCATGGTTCGCAAAGTTTCGGTTCTTTTTAGGCTTTGTAGTCGCAAAGGCCTTTTGCAAGAGTCAAAAGTGGTCAAGATTCTAACAGAAAGTCATAAAAAGGTTGTACTTGACATAAAGTGGGAGTTATACTTTCTGTTCTTATGGGTCATACGTTTAAACATTCTACGTCCTTAAAATTAAATAATTATGAAAAAATGATCATGTGGCGTACATTTTTCAACATCTTGTGTCCCTAATTCAAACTCCTTTTAAAAGATTTCGTTAACTCATATGGTAATTTCGTCATTTTTATTTCTTTTCTCAGTTTTTATAACTGAACTTTTAATAAAAGTATGTTATTATATTATTTACATACATATACAAGCCAAGAACTTTCTCCTACCCTCCATCTTCAACATTGAATTTAATTTTAGTCCATATTTTAGGGTCTTTTTCATTGTTCGTCTAAATGGTGACTACGAACAGAATGGGGGTAGGTGAAGGACGTTCCAACCTTTTTGGAGACTCTGTTACATCCAAAACTTCTGATTACATTACATAAATAAGATATCAAAGAATATATGTTAAGAACAAAAATGGAGTAAACCTAAAACGATTAACAGTCTAAAGCTAAACATAAAGTATTAGTGATTCGGATCTAAAACCAAATAGTTTGAACATAAATAATTTTGGCTATACTTTTACACATATCGATAAAAAACCCTGAACACATGTAAATTTTGGCCCCAAAATATCAGGGGCCCTGTTCAAAATCTCGCATTTAACATGTTAAGGGACGACCCTATGGATGAGTCATCTAGGATATGGATTTCTTGTTTTTGATTCTTGAATAGCCATTTCTTTTTTCTTTAAAATTGAGGCTTTTGATTCATATAAGTTTTGTATCATAAGATTTTTAGAGTAATTTACACAAATTTGTCATGTTTGTTTATGTTCATGGATGGAAGTTTTGAAGGGTCTTAAAAATTGTCAACCACATAGCCTTTTTTTCATAATTATTTTATTTTTAGGGACACATAGAGTTAAAATGTGTAAACCAGAGGGACCAAACATGTAATTCACTCTTTTGTAATAATGGTTAAAAAGGGAGAGTGAACGGCACGCGTTATTGTGAGAGTAGAAGTGGTGTTTGAAACCGGACATAATTAGGGTAAATGAATGGAATTAAATAAATAGGAAGGTTGCAGGGGGTTCCAACGGTCGGCTTCCACCCCTATACAAATGTCTCTATTTCTAAATTCTTAACTTAATTCTAAAAAATAAAAAAATAAATTAATTTTGTTTGTATATTTACAAAATTTATTCTTCACACACCAAATAGTAGTTTTAGATATTAAAGCAACCATTGTTCTTAAAAATAGTGTTATTATTATTATTATTATTAATGTTTATATTAATTATTTATTTCATCCATTATCATGTTTGATGATGGATTAATCAGTAAAAAAAGGTGGGTGTTGATGATACGAAAATAAATGTGTAATAAATACGTTTGAAGGGTCAAGCCTTAACCTAATGGTACATTAATCATGATTGAGAACAGTTTGGTTTATGGTCGTTGATGGCGTTCTTCATTAAGTTCAGAAGGTTGCACACCCGAACCAAGATTGATGCTAAAACCAAACCACTCCACTGCAATCATGGCTGCATTTGCATTTCTTCTGGTTTCGTTGAATCACTCATAACATGCTTCTAACAACTCATTTCAAACAAATGGGCATGTTAAAAGTTTGAACACTCGACCATCCTAATAGAGTATGTTAAGTTTATAGAATTGTCCTTTTTCTAATAAGTGATAAAGGAAAGAGGACGGTTGGAGGAAGCACGTAAAAGAAAGCCTTTTTTTCAGTCTATGGAATGACTCGACCCATGAAGCCTTTCTTTCCCAGTCGACCAGTCTCGTGATGAAGAGAATTCCAATCTTCCAGTGTGACTTACTTGACTTTGATTAGACTAGACGGACCCAGAGAGGAACATTCTTCTCTTCTCGCTTTGTTTGCAAAACGTCTTCTATTAAATCGATTGGTGCCATTTCGTTTAAAGATATGACTTGAGCATGGGGGCACTCCACACGAATTTGCCCCGGTTGAGCACTTTAACCATTCAGTCATGAATGGAAAGAGGCTTAGCGAGTGAAGTAGGTTTTGGTATTTTTCGGTTCCCTCCCCCTGTGCGGTTCGGCAAAATCAAATTTAAGAGCACAATAGAACGGACAATTCCGAAGAAGATAGTCATCATATACGAAGACGTTACAATAAGTTGTTAGAACAAATTTTAGTAATAATTTATATCTTTTTGTTTTAAAAATAAGTTTGACAATTTAATACGACTCAGGGCATCTACAACCATACTGCAAATTCCATATTTTGTCCGCAAAATGTCGGAGATGGGAGACAAACAACATATATAACTACGTTGAAACGATATATATATATATAACAAATTTCATTTTACGCTATATCATGAAAGTCTCTCAATCATTCTGACCACTTAATAATTCTGTACCAAATCATTCAGCAACTGTCAAACATCCATTAACTTTGTCTTGTTAATTAATAATATTTTTAAATAAGACATTACAAGTCTCATTAAATATTATGATACTTATTTTCTATAATGATTCGAATATTTAACGTAATAAAAGAAAATCAAATTTGAATTAACAGGTTGTGAAATTAATTACTATAGCGCCATAATTGAAATTGCTTGACTTGTACGGACCAGTATGAATTTTGACCTACTCAACCTCTCCTCTTTAAATGTATGCATTTTAATAATTCTAAAAATATTTAATTAGAATACATCAACAAAATGCATCAATAAATATGTAAATTAATACTGAAGCTATAATAAAAATTTATACAAAATTTTCGTTTCAGATATATAAATATTTATTGAAAAACGTTTTAATAAAATATTTAATTTAATTTTTTAAAAAGTTATTGATTAATTAAGACATTTAAATCGTTTTTATTTATATTATACTAGAAGAGTACTCGCGCAATGCAGCAAGATACATCTCGATTTTAATGTTCTATTTTATTATTTGTCTCTGTCGATATTATAATACGATTTTATGTGTTTTAAGAAAAACAATAATGATTTTATTTTTGAATAAAATATAAATTTGAAGATATTATAAAAGTTAAAAATATATATATCAATGTTAATATCAAATTAATATTTAAAAGTTATCATTTTTATGTAATTTATTTAATTTATTTTTTTATTATAATTTAATTTAAATTTAATAATGAAATAATTTATTTTTGGTTTAATAATATAACATTTTATAAATATAATAATTAAGTATTCTGTTAGAACTTAATGATTATCATAATTATATTTTAGATTTTTTATATTTAAAATGATATGTTTATCATGTATTTGATTATGTTTATCCGCAGTTGATTACACGAATTCAGATATGGAGCTTTAATAAGTTGTACTTATGCACAATCTATTTGTAATCTTGAATTTGAAGTAATATGTATTAATAAATAGTATTTTAGGTATAAAAAATGGTTTTTAAGAGTTTTTGAACTTTTTTAATATTACATATAATAAATCAATTTAAAAGTTACTAATTAACATATTATATTATTTAATTTTCTTTAGCATTTGGTTTATATTAACTAACATATTATACTATTAGTGAAATATGCTAAATATATTATAATATGATATGTTGAAATTTATTAATTTATAAATATGTCCTTTTTGATCATTTTACATTTTCCAACTAGCTTATCAACTAGTGTTTTTTCAAACATACTTTGTTTATCAGTTAGCTTATCAAACAGTTTACCAAACATAGCATAGCATTAGAAATTTCTCTAAACTTGAAATATATAACCTGGTCAAAAATATTACTTCAATTTGTTTGGTTTTCTGTCAACTCTTAAATAATTCATGTCTTTACGAATATTTTACAATATATTGTTATCTGATAGAAAATTAATTAGAATAAGATTCTTTTTTCAAACATTTTTCGTTTTGCAAATTCTTAGAATAATCCAAAATAAAATGGGATAAATTTTAATGGCTACTAAATACTTGTGTTATGTGGTTGACTATCAAAAAAATTACTGAAAATTAGTATACATGTATTTACATGTGAATACTCATGATCGAAATTTAAAAATTGGGACTAAAAATATATCTGTATGTATATCAAAATAAACAGACTAAAATACTCATTTTTTATATAAGTTGTTTTAAAAATATAATTTATATTTAAAAAAATGAGATAAATTTATGAAGTTTATCCGTTAGTTTATAAAGTTTTGAAGTGTTATGTATATGCTATATTAACTTGTAACTATGAATTTCAAAATATTTATATTAATAACGGTATCTTGATTAACCTAGATATCCAACCCACTATGCGAGTCGACTA